AAAAAAAAAAAAAAAAAACGTGAAGTGAAGATGAGGGGGGGAGGAGGAGTGAAGAAGTCGTGGCAGAAGAAAAGCAGAAGAGTTATAAGACGAAGAAGAAAAAGAAGAAGAAGAAGAAGAAGATGAGAGGGGGAGGAGAAGAAGAAGAAGCAGAAGAATAAGAGGAGGAGGAGGGAAGAAGAAGAAGAAGAAGAAGACGAAGAAGAAGCAGAAGAAGAAGAAGATGTAGAAGAAGAAGAAGAGACGGGCGACGGCAGTCCCAGGCGCCGGCGGCGACGGGCAGCTACTTCGACGGGCGACAGTGCTCCCACGCGATGACGACGGCACTCCTAGGCGACGACACTCCTAGGCGGCGACGACGGGCAGCTGCTTCGACGAAAGGACGAACGAGGCGGCTGGAGCAGGGGCCCCATTTGGAAAGCGAATGCAGACCTCCCCAGCCACTCGCTTGTTCAAATGGGGCCTCCTTTTTCCCTCCAAAAACGCATGGCCTTCTAGCGATCGATCATGGATGATCGACAGCTGAAGGGCCGTACGAACTTGAAAAAAAAAAAGCAGGCCTCACGCGCCCGACGCGCCGTTTTCTCAGCGCGGTCGGACCCGGTAGGCCTTGCCGATGTCCAAAGTGGCCGATTCGAGGTCGGAAACCCCCCACTGGGCAGGTGTGCTGGGGGGGGCCAGCCCCCAACCAGGCCGCCCGCCCGGCCAGGCCGCCCGGGACCTCCCCCGGGCATGCGCTGGTCGGGCGGGCGGCCCGGATCCGTACTCAGGAAATGAGTGAATTTCGCATGAAAACACATTTTTGCCTTGCTGTTTTATAGGTTTTAAAGTTCTTTTCTCTTTTTTTTTTTCCGTAAATAGTTAGTATGATCTCCAATCTATGAATTGGTGGCAAGTTTGATTAAAATGCCCCTTGGGTTTTGTTATACATGGCCTGACAAGTGGTCTGAAAATTGAGGTCTCCGTTAACCGTCTCTCATAGAGTGCTGGTCCATTGGAGACGCTATCTCCTAGGCAGATTCTTCAACTTGAGATCTGACCATGAGACCTTGTGTTGTACTCTCTGATGCACTGAAATGGTGGATCCAAGTGATAGACACGTATGAATATCAGCTTGACCCCATAAAGGGAGAGTATAATAAGGTAGCTGATGTACTATCTCGAAGGGCAGATTATCCGAGCGCTAATAACTGAGTTTGGTAAATCTGACGTTATAACTCAATCCTCAATGGAAGCCTATCAAGAGGACGCAATTATGTCAGAAATCATCCATAAGTTAGAAGTGAAAGATAAAGTAACTTCTGATGAGTTTACGGTGGTCAATGGCTCGTTGTTCCTCTAGAAGGTAAGGAATAAAAGATTGTGTGTACCCGATAGAGAGTCTTTGCATAGTTTGTTTTTAGGCAAGTGTCAAGATGCAACTGGGCATTTCAGCTAGAAAAACATCAGCCAACCTAGTGCAGAGATTCTGGTGGCCCTCTATGATGCAAGACACAAAAAGGTACGTTGAAACCTGCCAGGTTTGTCCCGTTGACAAACCTAGGACTCGGGCTTTGCTTGGGTTTATCAAGCCCTTGCCGATTCCTGAAGGTCCTGGTCAAAGTGTGTCCATGGACTTCATGGATACTCTTGTGACCAGCAGGACTGGAAAGAGACACGTCTTCGTTATAGTAGACCGGTTTTCCAAGTATGCAATACTAATCGCTATGCCAGAGACCACTAAAACTGACTACACCATCAGGTTGCTTATGAATAACTGGGTATGGGACTTTGGTTTACCCAAGTCCATTGTCATCGACAGGGATGTTCGCTTTAGAATCGAACTGTGGCAAAACACTGCCCAGCAGATGGGTACCAGATCTGCAGATGACGTCAGGGAATCACTCTGAGTCAAATGGTCAGGCGGAATAGCCAAGTCAGGATGACTGCGACGAGAAATTGCCCCTCGTCGCCAGCCTGTATAACAACATTGTGCATAGCACTACTGGCACGACTCTCAACCAACTGCATCTTGGTTGGAAGCCTAGAACCGCCTTAGACTTTTTGCTACCTGAGAGTCAATCATCTGCAGCACCTGGCAGCACAGAGTTCGCAGTCAAGTATGAACTGATTCTGCAACAGGCTGTAGATCACAAAAGAAAGCTCAGGATGCCATGGCTGCATCCGAGAACAAGCATAGATGGCCATCTCAATATCAGGTAGGAGAACGGGTATGGGTTAAATCATCATAAAACTAATGCCACAGTACCTTGGTCCCAAGGAGGTCCTAGATGTAATTGGTGATCGGATGGACAGACCCTCCTCTGCGATTCGCATCCCACCTCACCTACGTACACACCCAGTTTTTCACGCCTCAAAGGTGGCACCTTTCGCAGAGATTGCACAGTTTCCTTCCAGACGGTCAATGCTGCCCTTGGATGGCGAAGTCGACATCGAGGAAATCGTAGAGCATCGAGTGATGTCAGTGCCTAAACCTCCCAGTAGAGGCCGACCTCCCAAGCCAAGGATGCAGTACCGGTAGAGGCTGACCTCCCAAGCCAAGGATGCAGTACCGTGTCAGATTTAGACACCATACTGATCCCAATGAAGATCGGTGGTTTACCAGAGAAGAGCTCCAGCAAACACGACCTCAAGTGATTGCAGGATATCAAAAAGCACTTAAGGGGAAGACGCCTGCAAATTAGAAGTCTTCTCAGGGAACTTTCGAGGTAAAGGAGGAGGGATTGCAAGGATATGCCTCCTTGACAGGCCTATGGGCCCCTGATGCAAGTGTGGCCGCCCTAAGTGAAGGCGGGCTTAACAAATCACGAGAAGCCCAAATGCTGTCAATTTCGTACGTGGGGTTCAGACAATTGTGTTGCGTCAGTTAGGGAGCCCAGGACTCGAGCTGCAAAGAATTTCCACGGCCTTCCAGGGCTTTCTGAAAGGCAGGCCCTGGCCAGGATTCGCATCAACATACACAGACAGTTGGGAGGCCCACGTGAACGAGGCCCGGTAGCTGCAGCAGAGGACCAGCCACCTGAGGCCTACCAGAAGCTTCTGGGAGCACGCCCGTCCCAGCCAAGCCACAGGCCTGGCCAGAACTCTTCCATATAGAAAAGAGCTTGTGGCCAGGCACGACATTCGGGCACTTGCAAGCTAGCGGCAGGGCTGCTCGAGCGGAGTCTCTCGGGCTGCTGGTTGCGCTAAGGCAAGGTGCTGCGCAGGTGCGGTCGTATACGAGGAAGGGTGCTGCTCAGCGCAGCGCCACAACCCAGCCTCCATAGGCAACTGGGGCTTGGACGTAAAGCAAGGCGCAGGGTTGTTCTTCAGGTGTACAGAGGGAAGACATGGGTGAAAGTCAAGGAAGAAGACAGGATGATGATGATGATGATGATGAAGTTAGGGCACATACCTGGTATTGGCGATGGTCTGCATTGGTTGAGATCTTCAAGTACTCCGTTGGCTGCTGACGTCAACAGTTGCACTGTCAATTAGTAGGCAGATAGTAGTTGTGTAGGGAGTAGGCTGGGGGTCGAGCGCCAAGTAGGGAGAAGGGCCTGGATACTTGTGTTGGTGATGGCGAGAGCCAGCTCTCATTGACAATCAGTTTTCAATGTTACGATTATCCCTTGGTGTTATATTGGTGCAATGCGGCTTTCAGGACACTGATACTTTCTGGCTTTCAATGTGATTGTGCAATCTGGATTTTGTGATCTCGCTATTGCTCATTTTCCTTGCATAACTGAAAAATTATTAAATAATAAAATAATCATTCGTTTTCATTTTCTTTTTATCATTTTTTATTCTATAACTTATTTTTCATTCCTCTATTAAATTTAATAAAATTTGAAGCCTCATTTTCTCACCAACTGATCAGCGTGGAAAATGTCGCGCAAAGGCTTACATGCATATTTTTGTCCCACGGGTAGCTGGCTCAAAGATAGGCTCGGAGCGGATGGAAAACAACAAAAGTTAGGGCCTGTAGAGGCGAGTATCTGATTATTCAAGTTCGGGGGTTACTATTTGTAAACAATCGAGAAAAATCAGGATAGAATTTGCGCGCGCAAACTTTTCCAGCCGCGTCTCGCAATAATACCCAAAGAAGATCATCCCGGCGCTCAGTCAAAGGTTCAATTTTGTCAGTTTCGGACGGCCAATCCAATTTGCCCGCCCGACAATAGTCTGAAGAGATTGAGATGGGAAGATAAGTAAGAGGACAATGTACCTGAAGATAGCTGGCCCCCAGCCACAAATTTCTCACCAATTGAGCCGACGTGCATTTTGATGACCGGTCATAGCCTTGGTACCACTCACAATGCAATGCAGTGCCACGTCAACCGAAATGCCATGTCAGGATGCTCTCACCATCCTACATTAATCTGCTGTCACCACAGATCCTACGCTGTCGCCACAGCCTTCCGGCGACACTCCCCCCTACCCGGGAGTCGCCCAAACAAGCCAGCGGCAATGTATCCTCACTGCGTAGAAGCTTCGTGAGCGCACCAAGTAACAAAGTCGCCAGGGCCGGTAGCGGCGATATCAAACCAGCTCTAAAACCAAATTGCAAGGAATATGAGCAAGAGCAATAGACAAAAATCACGAAGTAGTCCAGATAATCATGTACCAAGCAGAGAGCACAATGCACCAAGGTACCATCCAAATAAGACCAATACAATGAACTCGAGTGCCAATGCCGACACTATCTGGTCACACCAACACTGTACCCAATATCGCTCCTACTGTCCAGAGCCCAGTGCTCGTGACGTCATCACCAATGCAGACTGCCAGTGTACACCAGGTACGTTCTGTCTCCTCCCCTCACCACCCCTCGACTCCCCACTTCATACGCCTTCTACCCGAAGACCACCATCGCCATCACCTGGCTGCGCCCCAGCAGCCCGTCTATGGCCGCCGTGCGCCCATCGCCTCAGCAGCTCCCTCTCAACTCTCAGCGCCCATATTCGCCCCAGCCTGCCAGCACTAAGCAGAGCTCCTTCGACAATGCAGCAGCATGGCCACATAGCCTTGGCCAGCCAGAATGCAGGGGGCACACACTTCCCTTTATGGAAACTGCGCTCGCTGCTGGCTAGCCTGGCCGGGCGTGTGGGGGCCCAGTAGCTTCAGTCTGGCCCCAAGTGTCTGCCCCCAGGCCCAATTTCAAATACTGGCCTGGGGCTCGTGCAGTTAGACACGTTTAGTTGCAGCATTGTCATGGACTCGGGGTGCATGTGCGACGACAATGCTTCTCTCTCATTGGCCCGCGGCCAGTCCGTGATGTGTCGGCCTCACCCTGCAGCCCTTGCTTCGGGAAAGAACCTGGAGGCTCACGTTGCTCTGTAACCGACTGGCATGCTGCAACTGTCTGGTTCCCCTAATATGGAAAAATGGCGAAAATAGGCCTCGCGTGGATATTCAGGCCCGCCTTCGCTTAGGGCGTGCACGAGGTTGCTGGGGGCTGCAGCCCAGAACACTTGCATGTCTGCTAAGGGCCCCACGAGGGCTCATTCCTGGCACTTCAGTCTCCCCCAATGTGTCTGCACCCAGACCTGTTCGGACAGTGGCCTGTAACCGAATTGGTTAGGCATTCCCAAGCACCCACGCGCAAACATACGGTGTTCCGTGCTTCGACCACGTTGCTGGAAGAGCCTGGAAGGTTCACAAATATTTATGATGCTCACCAGCAAGGCGTTTGTAACCAACTGGCGCGTGGCAACTGTCTGGCGCCCACCAAGATTTGCAAAAATTGACGAACTAAGGCCTCATTACGCCTTCACTTAGGGCGGGCACGGGTCCGTTGGAGGGCCTTACGCAGGTATGTCGAAGACTGAAATCTGTTTTCCTGCTTATTTACAGTCCCTTCACTACCCTACTGACAAGTCTTCATGCATGCTGTTATAACCACAAAACAAAAAAAAATATTGAGCACGCACCCCAAGAAGCTCACTGCTCATCTGGCGCTGTGAATCCGTCTGTATCTGACCTAAGAAGTGCCCCAGCACCAGAATCAAAAGTTGAACTATTTTGCTTGGATTATTCAGAAATATGAGATGGAAAACAGGTCCAAAATAAAAGGTTGGAAAAACAACTCCATGGAGAAAGATGCAACTCCTGGATGTCTTCTCTGTCAGTCAACCGATGCTTATTTGTGCAGGAATCAGTCAACCGACGCTTATTTGTGCATGCATTTTCAAGCAATAGAGAAGTGGTAGGCATTCAGGACAAGAGGGAACCCTTACATGCCCTGTCTATCAGAAAATTGAACCAACCTGCTGAGGATAACGGTGAAGCTGTCATCCCAAAAATGAGTGGTCGCTTATCACGCTCGAGGGTGTGATAGAAACCCTCCATAATCTGGCTGTACGCATGTCTGCCATGTGCGCGATGGCATTCGTCGAAAACAATAAGGTTCACTCTTTCCATTTGCATAAAGGAATGACGCAGATTATCCAGAAAAATCTGAGCTGTCATAACGAACACCTGGAACCAGTGACAGGTTCATGCCAGCACATCCAGAAACAGAGCATACCACGTCGACCAGAACCAAATCATCAGGTAGGTAAATTGGTGCCCAAGAATATAAAAAGAGCCGGGGGGGGGGGCGGGGGGGAAAGGGCGAGAACAGGCATTTTCATCATTACATGGGGCAGGCGAAACAGGTTTAACTTCCTGAACCACAACTGCCTCCAAACCTAAACTGGCAAACTTACAGCCCCTGACGTTCCGAAGCATGACAGGGT